CATTTCATACTGTTCTTATGCCATCTTTATTAAATGATATCAGTAAAAAAAAATAAAATGTTATAATTTGTGCTATTAAAATTTCATCTTGGCATATTTTAAAAGTTAATTTTACATATCTTCAGGCAGTAAGCAAATAATCTGATAAAGTATTTACAGTATTTAATGTGAATCTTGTAAATACAAATTCTTTTATTTTTTCCTGCCTCTGCATTGTAATGATAGATGATAACACATTGAATGTCATGATTAATTAACACATTTAATGTAGATAATACTGATAAGATAAATCATTAATCTTAAAAAATTTTGTATGAAATAAATTTTAAGGGAATTAATGATAATATCTTAAATATAATATTTGCAATGCTATGAATTATCACATTTCAAATCTGTAACACTAAAAATCGCATGAAACATACTGGGCATTATTATTCTCTGTAAAACTTTGTTATTCAAATGAATAAGTAATTGTCTCAGGAGCAGCAGATTGTAAATAACTGAAGTGAAACGGGAAATATTAATGAAAAACAAACATTGCTTGTGTGAAAAATGTATCTTTCAAATATTTACAAACTTAAGTTATTATTTTGTTTTTATCTTTGAATAATGCGTGCTGAATTTCATTTTTGATGTGTTTGTAACTGCACAATGTTTTAATAGTTAGGTTCTGGCAACAGTAAAATATTGCTATATCTGTTCTATTCTTTTTAATTTTAAGAGATATTTATGCTGTGTTCTTGAGTTATAAAAAGAGAAGGCATCTTTTTGTGATATTTAAAGATGCACATATTGAGTTTTGATATGCTTATGTATAATAAATGTGTTTTATTAAACAACTTGAAGTTTTAATGAATCCTTATTGACTTTGGAGTATTTCTGAGAGGCAATTATTTGTCAACTGGCATCCGTAAGAAAGGATTAGAGCTGCAATTAAAAGTAAGCAATTTGTTTTCATTATTTTTTTAAGTATGGAAGCTTTAAAACTAGCACATAAGCAACACCGTATTTTCTAAATCGTGTAATGAATTTGATCAAAGAGAAGATAATTGAAGTGACGATGAAAAAATTTTAGAATTAAGAGTTATTCAATAGAAATCAAAATTAATGATTTCAGCTGAAAGCGGTTTTAAGCAAGAACTTTTTAAAATAAGTTATTGATAAAAAATTTATCGAAAAAGAGATTGATGAGTCAAAATCATATTTAGATAGATGGAGAAAGTTAGAATATAAGATGAAAAAATTATTACAAGTGTCAAAATAGAAAATGTGCATCAATTTCACAAATTCGTAATACGATGTTGCATTATCCCAAGATAAAATTACCAACATTTAATGGTGATTTAAAAAATTGGTTTAATTTTTGGGAACAATTTAAGAAAATTGATAAGGACCCTAATATTGATAATCAAGATAAATTTACATATTTATCTCAGGCCATGCAACAAGGTTCTGTTGCAGAAGAATTAATTAAAAGTTTCCCGCCTAGCGGTGAAAATTATGAGAAAGCTGTAAAACACTTGCATGTGTGTTTTGGAAAGGATGAACTGTTAATTCAAGTTTATGTAAGAGATTTATTGGCTTTAATACTTCAAAAGCAAAACACACCAGGGTGGTCTTTAAGAAAACTTTATGACCAGTTGGAATCTCAGCTTTGTGCTTTGGAAGTTCTAGGGGTTACTAGAGATAAATATGCAGCCATGCTTTTTCCTCTTGTTGAGTCTTCTTTGCCTGATGAGACACTTAGAGCATGGGAACGTTACCGAGCAGTTAATCGTAGATCTAGAGATTTAAATCCACAAACGGGAGAAATTCTGAGCAGTCAAAAGTAATCAAAAAAAGTAATCTAGATTATTTACTTGAATTTCTTCAAGATGAAGTAGAATCGGAAGAGGGAATATCTCTAGCTCCCCAAGCATTTGATCAGAAGAAGCCAGGAAAATATGATAAAAAATGCAGTATTAAAATACATTTTGAAAATAAAATCAGGAGTACTAAATCAAAATTTGGCAATCCATTGCCTGTGCCTAATACTTTCAAACTGTTTACGTCAGCCAAAGGGCAAAAATTGTGCATATTTTGTTCAAATCGTCATAATTCTTGGGATTGTAGGAATGCAAAAAATATACCTCTAAATGAGAGAGAAGCTATTGTTGGGAAATTGCGTTGCTGCTTTCTCTGCCTGAGACATGGATACCGAGTAATGAAATGTAATGATGTCTTTTCCCACATAGAAATATAAAGTAAGTGCACAACATTCTAATAAAAAAGAAACTGAGTCTATTAAAACTGATTTAGAGAGAGATCAGGCACTTGCTAATGTATCTAGTGCACCTAATGTTATGTTACAAACATTAACTGTGATTTTAAGATGCAATGGTAAAAAGCATAAAGCCTGAGCCATTATTGATTCTGCTTCTCAGAGGTCTTACATTCTGAGTAAAACAGCTAAAGAGATGGGATACAAAGTCTTAAGAAATGAATAATCGGAGGAAGTAATATTAAAATGTATAAACATGATGTGTTAATGATATATTTACCAAATATGAAGTGTACATATAATTGTCATTTTGAAGTATTAAGCCAACCTGTAATATGTGATACTATGCCACCAGTAGCATCAGAATTGTGTCTAAAAGAACTTGCAGACTTAGGCATTTATCCTGATGATAAGAAATGTGGGCCTATTGAAATTTTAATTGGAGCTGACATATCGGGCAAGTTGATGACTGGCAGTTATAAACTTCTACCCAGTGGTCTTGCAGCCATTGAAACAAAACTAGGGTGGATGATTATAGGTCGCATCCCACCACCGTCGTCCAGTGAGAGTACAACTTTAATTTCAGTGTTAACTAAAAATGTTTGTATAACAGATTTGTGGACATTAGATAGTTTAGGTATCCGAGACCCATCAGAAAGCAAAACAAAATCTGAACTTGAGGAAGCTGCTAAGTCTTATTTTTAAAATACCGTGAAAATCGAGAATGAACGTTTTATGGTAGATCTACCATAGATTGAAGGTCACCGTCTACTTCCAGACAAGTATAACTTATCTCTCAAAAGATTGACTTCTACATTGAAGAAATTAAAAGCTGATGGCTTATATGAAGATTACGGAAATATATTTCAGGATTGGTTGAAAGAAGGTATCATTGAGGAAGTACCATTGAGTGAGAAAGATGTTCCTTGTCATTATCTGCCTCACAGACATATTGTTAAAGAAAACATTACGACACGAATCCGACCAGTATTTGATGCTTCAGGAAGGGAAAAAGGGTCACCCTGTCTTAATGAATGTATAGACAAGGGCCCAAACCTCATAGAACTGATTCCTTCCATTTTTACTAGATTTTGTTTAGACAAGATAGGTGTCATTGCAGATATTCGAAAGGCTTTTTTCCAAATAAGCCTTTGTCAAAATGATAGAAATTTCCTAAGATTCCTGTAGGTAAATAGCAACAATGAATTGAAAATTTGTCGTCACTGTAGAGTTGTGTTCAGAGTTTCAAATAGTCCCTCCTTCTTGGAGCTGTTATTCAGCATCATTTACAGACAGTTCTAAATGCATAGAAGGACAGTCCATTTATCCAAAAGAAACTACACAGAAACTTTGTAGTAGTTTCTACGTTGACAATTGTGTCACGAGTGAGAAAGATGAATCTGAATTACAAACTTTCATAACAGTGGCTTGACAAGTAATGGCAGAAAGACAGTTTGATTTGAGAGGATAGGAAAATATAGATTCTTCAAGACTTTCTCTTACCTCTACAAATGTTCTTAGATTAACATGGAACAAAATGAAAGATACCCTCCAAGTGAATATATCCACTTTCGAGAATCTGTGTACTCTGAAGATAACGAAAAGAACTATTCTAGCTGCTGCTCGCAGAATTTTTGATCGTTTAGGGATTGCTTGTCCAATAACCTTAATTCCCAAACTGTTTTTGCAACATTTATGGAAAGCAAATATCAGCTGGGATCAGGAAGTAGATGCAGATGCAAAGAAAGGATTTTAAAATGTATGAAAGATGTACCTTTTTTGTCTAAAGTTGAGGTCCCAAGATCGATCAAATTTGGGAAAGTAAGTTATAAGCATTCTTTACATGTGTTTTGCGATGCAAGTCAATTTGCATATGCGACAGCAGTCTTTCTTCATGTGGAAAAAGAAAACTCAGTGTACATTCAACTTATACAGGCTAGAGCAAGAATTTCACCCGGTGGAAAAAGAAGAACTAGCATTGCACGATTGGAGCTTCCTGGTGCTACTATCGCTGCATCACTTTTGTCAAGCATACTAAAACATCTTCCAGTTAAAAAGGTTTACTTTTCGACTGACTCAATGACTGTACTCGCTTGGATAAGAAGAGAAGATTCGTGGGGTGTTTTCATCCATAATAGAGTAAAAGAGATATTAGATTTGACATCTAAAGAAACCTGGAGATATGTTCCCGGTACAATGAATCTAGCCGATCTTCCTAGCAGAGGTTGCTCTCCACGACATTTTGCGTCTTTGAAATGGTGGGAGTTTCCTTTGTGGCTCTATCTACCTGATGAAATGTGGCATTTCACTGAAGAATTATAACATGTGAAGAGGAAGTAAACAGAGAACGAATGAAGAAAATCGTATTTTCTATGTTGACTGTTGGAGTGAGCACTTTTCTAATTTCTCATCATGCGGATTATAAAAAAGCAGTAAATATCATGGGTTGGATAAAGAGATTTGTCTACAATTGTCGACATAAGCAAGGAAAGAGGGAATCTCAGTGTATCTGATATCGATGAAGCAGATAAAACAATAGTGTATTTAATACAACAAGAATCCTTTGGTGGGTTAAAAGATAAACGATTAGAATCTTTGAACACATTCCTTGATAATGGAATTATACGATTGAAATCAGCTGTACACAGGAGAGATAATCATGAAGAATTTAAAATGCCAGCAATTTTACTAGGAGAACATCCACACGTGAAAAGTTTGGAGTTAGAAGATTACCGGAGAAATGGGTATGCTGATGTCTCATACACTTTAAATTCTTAAGAGAGAAATACTGGCTTCTCTGCGGAAGGAGAGCCATTAAACATGTATTGACATCTTGCATTGTTTGCAAGTGATTTTCAGCTAGAGGTAATAATCCTCCCACTGCACCACCACCAGCAGATAGAGTTCAAAATGCTGCTGCATTTCAGATAACAGGAGTGGACTTTGCTGGCCCAGTGATTCTAAGAGATAACTCTAAAGCTTGGATTGCTCTTTTCACCTGTGCGGTGTATCATGCCGCCCACCTTGAATTAGTGACATCCATATCAACGGAGACATTTCTACTAGCTTTTCATCGTTTAATAGAGGAAAACCTTCAATCATATGCAGTGACAATGGAACTAATTTCAAAGGAGCTACCAGTACTTTTGCGTTAATTGATTTTGAGAAATTCAACAAAGGATGTTTAGTAACAAGGATGTTTTAATAGTTAGGTTATTAATTAATTTTATAGTTAATTAGGTTACTTAAACAAAGGATGTTTTAATAGTTAGGTTCTGGCAACAGTAAAATATTGCTAAGTCTGTTCTATTCTTTTTAATTTTAAGAGATATTTATGCTGTGTTCTTGAGTTATAAAAAGAGAAGGCATCTTTTTGTGATATTTAAAGATGAACATATTGAGTTTCGATGTGCTTACGTCTAATAAATGTGTTTTATTAAACAACTTGGAGTTTTAATGAATCCTTATTGACTTTGGAGTATTTTTGAGAGGCAATTATTTGTCAACATGAATTAAAAAAAAAGTTGTTGTATTTAGGATGAAGCCTATTCAAATAGTGCCATGGATGAAGTTGACAGCCATGGCAATCTCCCAGTTTCTAATTATCCCCAGCTCCAGTGAAAAGTTGCAGACTCATAGAGAATAATGTTTGTTTGGGTATGATTACATCTACCTCAGTGATGCATTCAGTGCCATCCATTTTTTTTTTATATATATATATTCTTTTTCCATACAAGATACACACACTTCTCATTTATTTATTTACCAATGCTGTTATCCTTTCTGTGTACACAGCAATCTCGTTTTGCTAATATATATATAATCAGAGAACTGCACAAACTCAGCATCGTGCACAACCTTGGCATCAGAATACTAAAATGAGGAGGGGAAAAACACCACTTTGATGGCCTTAAGTGAGCTACAGTATGCTGCATGCATGCAGAAAGCCAAGTATGAGGTTTTGCCAGATATGATGAAAACTGCAATATGCAGTCCACTACTGTGCTAAAACACTTAAATTCTCTAAGGAGAGATTATAATTTGCAGTTGCACTGATGAAAATGTCCAAAGCAGAAAGCTATCTGGGAGGATGTGGCACGTATTCCTAGACTGCCATATAAAATAGTTTTTTACAATATTCTGCATTGCCTCATCAGTGCTTTTACATGGCCTTTCGGTGGGAATGCAGATAGTCAGGAAGTATCCATAAAAGAATTCAATTTTTTTCAATACATGTATGTATTAGCGCTGATAAACTTGAACAGGAGAAATAAGATAGAAGAGTTATTTAAGTATTTCTGATTTGTGTTCATATAACAATGCTAGAAGTAAGTTTATTTAAATTTAAGTATGAATCACTAAAATGTGGAATCTAAAGAATTCATTAGTGAAAAATATCCCTGAAATTATTTCACTTGTTTTCAATGATAGTGTTAACAATATAATTGATTCAAAATGCAAAATTTTAAATATAGAACTTTGTGAAATATATTGTCAATCAGTTTACACTGCTGGCCATTACATTTATAACACCAGAAAGGGATGATCTGAAAATTTCAAAATCACATGAAAGGAAGAGGTATGGATATGCAAATGATTAGTATTTCAGCACATTTAGATGATGCAGGAGAGGGAAACGACATCTGAAGCACTGCATAAAAGAAAAGTTGTGTAGTGGATTTCTCATTCAGAAAGTGCTTTGTAAGATCAGAGTTCAATCAAAATATCATGCTATGCCTTAATAATAATAAGAAATGCTTACCAGCAAGTGTCAGAATTTGATAGAGGCAGGATTGTTGCCTATCGAGAATGTGGATTATCGTTTCATGATATCACCCAACACAATGGTTGACATCCAAACACAGTAATGCGAATATGGAATCAGTGGGTTTCTGAGGGTCATACTGAATGGCATGCTGGATCTCAATGCCCTCCCATGACTAATGCTCGAGAGGACAGATGTATTGTGAGGTCAACCCTGAAAAAATGTATAACCATATCATGGATCCTTAGGCAGTATCCACTTGTCTCTGAGGAGGATCTCCTGCTTGCATTCGATGTAGGCATAGGGGCACTTCATCTGGGTGATGGTTTTGGCAGCCACTGAGTACATGGCATGCACATCTCTAGTTTGGATTAACAGTAATTTGAACACAGATCAAGAAAATTTCTGACACCTTACATCCAGTGTTTGTATCCTATCTTTGAGGCTGGCCAAACGCCATCTTCCAACAAGATAATGCAAGACCACCTGTTCCAAGTTGTGTTTTGACCTTCCTCGATACACATTATATTCGACAGCTGCCTTGGCCTGCACGGTCTCCAGATCTGTCGCATTGAAAACATCTGGTCATAGGTTGCCGAGAGACTGGCTCGCCACCCCTCACTAGCTATAGTACGGTTGATAAAGTGTGGCATAGACTTCAAGCAGCATGGAATGAGTTACCCATTTCTGTCATCCAAGCCCAGTTCAACTTCATGTCTAACCGGGTAAGGGCTGTTTTAGCTGTTTCTACTAATTTCACACCCCTGTAAACCTCCAAACTGCTGATAAATTTAATTATTTGGTCTTCATGCCGTACTAGTTATGTGCAATAAAAATATTTTTTGTATTTGCTTTCGTTCATGGTGTTGCAATTTTAATGACCAGCAGTGTATACATAATAGCGGGCTGCGGACAAAGCAAAATTTGTAAGCTTTATATACCCTTGAAAAGCAAATGTATGAAACATTTCAATATGAAAGAAATTAGTTCATTCTTTCCAAATAACAACCAATTTCTAAATATTTTTTTTTATTATCAGATCAGGAAACAAAAACTTTTGACACTTTAGGTTAATATGTATGACATCATGATTTAAATTTAATTTAGTATAACAAAATTTTCTGAATATTAATAAAATAATTAACATGTCAATAATACTAATATGAAACAAAACATTGCCAACAGCAGCTACTTATTTAAAATTCTGACATTAACGAACAATTTTCAACATACACTGACGTCATATGCAATCGCGTTCTTCAACATCAGAATATAACCTTATATAATATCTCCGTTAATTGAAGTCATATGAAGACGAAAATGGTTGAAATGGCTTCCCACATGTATGGAATCTGAGGTACCTGTCTCGGAACTCAACTCCCCGCCATTCTGGAGGAGATAATTCCACAAACAAACAGACACACACAGATTTTAATAGTATAGATAAGGATGAAGTGTGTATTTCATGAAATAGATGTCATAAATTCTGTTTGTGCCCATAAGATATAAAGTGTATATTTCATGAAATAATGAATGTTATAATTTATGAAGGAATTGCTTGAAGATTATCTTTGATATGTGATATTGTATATTAAACTTGAATCAGATACTTCATAGTGTACGTTACTTTTTTTAAAATTACTGTAACATACAACTGTTCTTTTTTTTTTTTTTTTAATAATTTATTATTCAAAATATAAAACAGAATAGGTTTACTTATATAGCTTATCCTTACAAGGCTATGGGATAATATTTATCATGAAATATATACTTTCTGTAATACTAATTATTAAAACACATTATAATTCAAGAATTCTATATAAGCAATCTTCTTATTTATTTTGATTATAATTTTTATGTGAATCACTGGAAATTATGTTTCATGTATTGTTATTATTATTTAGAGTTTTAACAGTATATGTCTCTTTAGAGGTTCTGCAAGGAGAAAAGAATTCTTGAAAGCTGTTGGCATAACGCATGTATTAAACACTGCAGATGGTAAAGCCTTTGGACAAGTTAATACTGGTGCCGATTATTATGCAGATTCAAATATAAAATACATGGGTTTGGATCTGATTGATGTACCTCGAACAAGAATCATTGATTATTTTGGAACTGGAATTAATTTTATAGACCAAGCAGTAAACAGTGGAGGTTTGTTGATTTTCATGTTATTATTTTTATCATTTAAAAATTGTATTATATGCTTATAAATGTAATATCTGCAAAATGGTAAACAATTTTGTAGTTACATATATTAACACTGCAGAGATTAATAAATTTGCTATATTTCCAGGAATCCAATTAAAAAAATAAATGCTACAAAGGAAGTTCTATTTTATATTATTACAATTTTATAACATAATTAAATGTTATACATATTTATATACTACATATATGTAATAATTTTGGCAGAAGATGAAACCAGTTAATTAGAAAACATGGCCAAGATATTGTAAAGAGATACAGATCACACACGATTAGGATATATGTGTGTTAAAAGATAGCTTGAAATTGTTGTATACAGGACTGGAACTTTGGAAAAGCACAGCCTAGCTTAATAATGAAAACATTTTATTTCTGGATTGCGAATTTGATAACACATATCTTCTTGGTACAACACCAGAGTCGGTAAGTGCCCCGCAATTTTATATATGCATATCGCATATTACAATAATGAAGTTGCCAAGTGGTTTATTATATTGTTGGAGTTTGTACTGTTTCATAGTAGATTGAATGCACATAGGTGCGATGATAGGTTAATAAAAATTTATTTTATCAAAATAAACACTTCAAAGTTCTGGATTTTTTTGCAGAAATACTCTTACAGGCGTATCTGCAGAAATACTCTTACAGGAGTTGACTGTATCACAGAGTAGAGTCAGTAGTTATGCATCAAACTACTAAGAACATTAACCACAATGCAATGCCAAGTGCATCTAAAGAGAAAACTAACTTGGATATCTCACTTCACATGGAGCTAACAACTTGCAACAATAATAACTAAGCAACTGAGAGCAGAGGCTCTCTCTTCAGCATTAAATAGTTTTCAATCGGCCACAGAGTTATTTCTACTGCTTTTTGAAATTACTGGAAAGCAATATGAGGGTCAAACTGCAGTTACAGCTAATAAAATTACTTCAAAAATTCAAACTATAATTGAATGAATTAATCAATTACATTCAATTATAGTTTGACTGCCTTACCTGCAAACAAGCATGAATCATTCAGACCAACATATTCTCAAAATGAGGTAGAAGGATGGGGACTTTCTTTCCCTCCAGCATATCTCTTTCTGGAGAAGACTTTCACATTGCAGCAAGTAATAACATCCCTTTTGGACGAGTCTATGTGTTTTGGTAGAATGCCACTCAGGGTTGCATTTGAGATGGTTGAACTATGCCATACTAATCATGGTGACACAAGAACCGGACCAAAATATTGGTGAATGATGGCCAAATTTTGCTACTTTTGCTGATTTCTCACCAAATTACAGAGATACCTATTTACTCAATGTTAAATGCACTTGCTCCTATATTCTTGCTTTTCTGGCATAGCTTCTCTTTAGATTTTTTATGTTAGAAAAGAAATACAACAATTTTACTTATAATTCTACTAAAATTCTTTATCTAAGTACACAATTCGTAAAAATATGCCCAGAAAGAATTCATAATTTATTGCAACTCATTAAGTGCTCTAAAATATTTAGTTAATTTTACTGACAATTAAAATTTTCTACTGGCGGACATTTTAAGTTTACATCGAAAATTAAAAAGGTGTGGATACGAGATCCTTTACTGTTGGGTTCCTGGCCATGTGGGCATAAAAGGGAACTAACTGGCAGATGTGGCAGCAAAGTTTGCTACTGTTATATCGAGCCAGCTAGTCTCTTAGAGTGATATTAAAACCGCCATCAAACAGATAAAAACAAATGGAAATTATTTTAGGATTAAACAAATGGAAATTATTTTTGGATGGTCTTTTGTTAAATAAATTGATATGAATTAATGCTTATTTACTGCATCTCCAATGAGAACGCGACTTCACATCACATGTTCAATTTTGAAATACTCTCACATATTCCTCCTCATTCAGTCAATGAGGAATTTTCAAATGCAATATATGATAAACTGCTTCTCTCTTAGCACCTACTCAATTATGCAAATTTAATAAATTATTGCATTAAGAACGAATGATGATTTAATTAATTATATTCAAGTAAGCCTTCCCTGATGACTATGCCACATCGACCATCTTTCGCCTGCGGGTGCGGTGCTAATGCACCCTTGATCTAAGTTAAAACAAAGTGAGCGGCGCCTTTGTCCTTAAATGATTTATTGGTAAAGACTCATCTGTAGTTGTCACCATTAAAAAATTTATGATTCTGATTCTGAAATAAATTGAGGAGTGTAAAAAAGTAGAAAACTGGGAGACGAATAGGAACCGAAAGGAGGAAAGTCTTGTTAACATGCTTAAGGATTGGTCAATAAGGATTGGATAAGTCACTCACAGCTATCCTTTTTCAGGTAAATTTTTTTTTACCTGAAAAAGACAGAATTTTATTATTTAATTTGATTTTATTATACAGTACAAAGTCTGTAATCTGGACGTCCATTATCCGGAATGATCTATAATCTGGACCTCAAAGCCACAAACTTATACATGCGTGTTTAATGTTATGCATGCGCAGTTAATGTTTTCACATGCACGTTCAGCACAAAAAATGAAGCAACTTAAACAACTTACATTGAAAGAAATGTTTAATAAAGTAAAACAAATAAATATTAAGTTTTTTTTTTTTTTAAATGTTGTTACCCTTTAGATTATAATTGCTCTTTATTTCATAAATTACGGTTTCATATTTTTAATTGTATCAGAAAAAGTCAGATTTTGTGTAAAAATACCTATGTTAGAACAGTGATATGTATAGATCTAATATATATTCTAAGTCGTGCTTTCGAGACATGAAAAACGTAATTTTAATTTTGTCAATCGGCCCAGTAGAATGAGTCAACTGTCCCTCCGTTCAGTTTCTTTTTTTTCTTTTCACAGTGTACATGCGTATGTATGTGCATGTATACATACACAAACATTTCTGAATCCAGTCCCAACAGCAGAAGAGTACTGGTTTCTCTATGCTTCATGAACTTTCTCATGTATAAATGTATAAAAGAGGATAAAAATGTAATTTGGAAATATGATAAAATATTATAAAATCACTAAATTAAATGTAAAGTCCAGTTTGAAAGTCTCTAAAACGTAAGTTTTTTTCAAGTTTTTGGAACATTTTCTCAAAATAGTAGTATTAAAATTATGCTGAATTTGAAGCATTCATTTTTTCTCGGAATAATTTAAAATGGGCATAGTTCTTGAAATGTCATTTGAATATCATGTTATAACTTTGACAGTCCTTGTATTTTGAAAGTCTTTCATAAAAACTTTGGTAATCAGTATCAACCTAAATGGTATATAGTGATGAATTTCTATTAAAATTCTTATTTACTCATTATAAAAAAAGATCAGATGTTCTTATTATAGAATTATATTATTATGTAATATAAAATATAATAATAAAGTAAATTTTGATGAAAAGTGAGTAAGTCCCCTACAAGAGAATCGGCATAACTACTTGTTGATGACTGGCTTAAATAATTGCACATAAAAGCATTTGTTCCTTGTATAAGGTAACTGTCTCTTAGCATAGTGTAAATAAATCAAAACTATGTATGGCCATAAAATCAAATTACTATGTATGGCCATAAAATCAAATCACTATGTATGGCCATAAAATTCTTTGCATTATTTATTTGAAATTTTTTTTTAAGTAGATATATATACAAAAATTAAAATTCAAATTAAGACAAATAACTTTTATGCTGAAGTTAAGTTGTACAAATTTAGTGAACAGAGTTTTTACATTAAAAAATATATATATGTGTGCCATGTGTATGTGTGGTAGCGCTTTGTGCTGAAACTATGGTCAGAGGAACGCGACTGGTGGAAAATATCAATATGCAGTCAGTTGATGGCCATACCCGACATTCCTAACCCCCAAAAATATAAATAAATTTGGATATTAGGTGTATTCCCATGTTGACAGCAGGTGTGTGCTGTCACTGTTTGTATCCTTCCTAAGGAGAGGATTCTAGGAGTACTTGTGTGAAATAATGCACATTGTGTGAAATTCCAGGTCAAATTATAGCAAAAATGTCATCTTTTTAGAATCTGGTATTGTATCCAGCTTGCAAAACATAGGTTAGAATTTTGCCTTTCCGCATCTCCAGGCTTTGGGGAACATACATAAAAAATTGTGAACAAAAACTCTGTGGGAAGTGGGCTAGAAAAGGAATCAGATTAAGAGCAAGTTAAATTTGGGATTAAATTGTCATCATGATTAGTGTTTAATGACTTTATCAAGTGAAAAAGTCATATCCAAGTTAGAAATCTTTTAAAATTTTGAAGACATTTTAATAAATGATTTAAAAAATAAAAATTAATGAATTTTGAATAGCAGCAGGTATTTTACTATTTCTAACAGTTAATTTAAATTCACTGGCTACGTTTAAAGATCTGATCCAGGTAAAATGGATAATTTCTGAATTCTTTTTAGTAAGGGAATTTTGTTTTTTCAAAAGTAACTTCAAAATATTGTTTCAAAATTTTATAAGGACCTGAAGAAAAAAAAGGAGAAAATTTCCTTATGTTAGGATATTGAAATCCCTGAAACATTACTAAATCACCATGTTTAAAATTACTTGCTTTAAAATTGGTGTCATATCTTTCTTTGTTTACATAATGATAATCATCAAACTTTTTTGAGAAATTTTCCTAGCTTCTTCAATTGCTTCTACATACAGATTTTGCTTTTCAAATCATAAGGTAATTTTCCATACATTAAATAAGATAATGGAAATTTTATTACAGGATGCAGTGTATTGTTGTATTCTTCAGCAACCTTAGGTAATAATTTTGTCCATGCACTATTGCCTTGATAAGAATTTAATTTGCATTTGAGTTTAGTTATAATGGTTTGATTAACTCTTTCTACTTTAGTAGAAACTATCATTAGTTTGCAGCCTGTTAATAATTGAATAACTTTATGGTTTCTCAAAGAGATGCTTAAATTTTGAAGAAGCCACATTTCTATCACTTAA